CAGCCCTCCTCACACAGGGGTGTCCTGCGTGAGGCAGAAGATGCTTTTTGGCCATCTTGAGGATGATGCCCTTCTTCTGCACCCAGCCTGGCTCCCTCCCACCCCCCCTGCCCCCCGCTGCTGGAGGATGAGGGGAGCGGGTGGAGCCTCGACACCCTGGGGGTCAGTGCTTCTGCTGGAGGGACCTGGTGGGGTCCCCTTGGGGTCCCAGGGCCAGGTTGGGTCATGGACTTGGAGCCATCACGGTGAGCAGAGCTGGTGGGGGTGCAGGAAGGGAGCAGGAGGACTCGAGGAGCCTGGTGTGTGGAGGTGCTGGGGCCAGCGTGGTGTTTTGGGAGGTCTCAAAACCATGAACCTGCTTCACTGCTGCTGCTTTTGGTGCTTTCTGAAGGTCTCTTCCTATGCTGGGTCCTTTGTTGCTTCTGATGTCCAGCAGACCAGATGTGCTGGTGCCATTTGTACCCTTCCCCCTGCCCTGGCTGGAAGAGGGACCAGGGAGGGGACTGGGGACCCCACGGACCCCAGTGCTCTGTGTGAGCTCAGTCCCTGTTCAGCTGCAGAGAGAGCAGGGAGACCTCCTGGTGGCCTTTCAGTGCTTCAAGGGGCCTGGCAGAAAGCTGGGGACAGAGTTTGGAGCAGGGCCTGGTGGGACAAAACAAGGGGTGATGGTTTGAAACTAAAAGAGGGAGATTTAGACTGGAGAGAAGGAAGAAATTGTTGATGCTGAGGGTGCTGAGCCCCTGGCCCAGGCTGCCCAGAGAGGTGGTCACTGCCCCATCCCTGGCACCATCCCAGGGGAGGTTGGACCAAGCTCTGAGCACCCTGCTCTAGCTGCAGATGTCCCTGCTCCCTGCAGGGGGGTTGAACCAGATGCCCTTTAAAGATCCCTTCCCACCCAGCCCAGCCTGGGATTCCATGAAAGCTGAGTTCCTGCACATCCCAAACCAGTCCTTGGGCAGAGCAAGGAGCAGCATTCCCTGCACACAGAGTCCCTGGTGCAGTCTCAGGGTCTGGTGCTTAAATCCCAGAGCTGAGGTGGAGGGAGGAGACTTCTAAAGGAACCTGCAGGGTCCTTCACCACATGCTGCTGTCTGACCCCATCACCAGCTGCTGACAAGCTGCCCAGTGGGGTCCCTCCTCTCTGGAGGAACAGTGTGGCTTCTCTAATCTAATTTAGCTTGGACTTTAGCTTAGCAGAGGGAAAATTCCAGGTAGAACAGGCAGCACGGGGTGCTGGAGGTGGGAGTCAGCTCTGGGAGAAGTTCAGGAAGGACATGCTTGGAGAAGGATGGCAGAGGAATGAGTGAGCTAAAACCCAGTGAGGAGTTCCAACTGAGTTAATGCTTTTGGGGGCAAAGTGAAGGGCAGAGACAGGTTTATGAAACTCATTGTCCAAGCCAAGTCTCCTGCACTTGGGTCACAAGAACCCCAGGCAACGCTCCAGGCTGGGGGGAGGAGTGAAAGCACTGGGTGGAAAAGGACCTGGGGGTCTGGATAGATGGCTGGCTGGAGATGAGCCAGTGTGTGC